CAAACTCTCGTCTTGTGTCAGTGATAGAACTTTGCGCATTTCAGATAGAGCCCTATCTCTTTTATACCCACACGCTACGAAAAAATTGGAATATTCCAATATTCTTTGCTCTAGTACGCGCGTTGATGAGCATATTCTCCTAAGTCTTAAGGCTTGGCTGTATGGTATACTTTGCTTTAAATGCGGTGGGTGCGCCGAAGTCCAGTGTAGGTATGGGTGGGTATCCGTTGGTTTCTGAAAAATGTCTGTGCTGATGTTACGTTGTACATCTTTTATTACTTTTGTATCCAAGAAATTCACGGACTTGTAAGATATTTCATGGGTGAATGTAATGGATGGTACAACACCGTTGAGGTACTTTATAAAGGTAGTGAGAGAACTTTCGTCTCCTTTCCAGATGAGAAAAATGTCGTCGATGAACCTTACCCGGTCAATTATGTAGTGGGACCATTCCGTTCGGTATACAAATTTATCTTCAATCCGGCCCATATACACGTTCGCAAAATTAGGTGCAGCCCTATTGCCCATTGCTGTACCCTTAGCCTGGATGAAATTGTGGTTGTCAAATGTGAAATTGTTCAGTTTGAGGACTTTTCCGAGGAGGCAAGCAAGGTTTTTTTTGCGGAAGGTTGGATCTGGCCAGTTTTTGCCAGTCCTCCTCAATTGTAGCAAGTCCATTGTCTGTGTCTCTATTTGTGTATAAACTGGAAACGTCTAATGTCGCGAGAATACTGTTCTCAGGATCTCTACCCAAGTTTTTCAGTCGTATGATGAAATCTGTAGTATCTCTGATATATATATATATATATATATATATATATATATATATATATATATATATATATATATATATATATATATATATATATATATATATATATATAACTATAAGTAGATTTAATGAAGACTTCATCTGCTATAAGAGTGCTCAATGGTAACACCAGAGCTGTAAATAGATAAAAGATGAACTTCTGGAGTCGGACTAGTTCAAAAACATTTAATCGCTACTCGGATGAAACTCCGAGTAGCGATTAAATGTTTTTGAACTAGTCCGACTCCAGAAGTTCATCTTTTATCTATATATATATGTGTGTGTGTGTGTGTGTGTGTGTGTGTGTGTTATTTTCTCCATCACTTCCCTACCCCCACAGTACTTTTTGCATCTGTCCCGCAATCGTGATCAGTTCGTTCATGGAGGGAAAACAATCAATGTATCGTTTGAGTTTAAAGAAAAAGACACTTTCTTTGTGCGTGAATGTTTGAGGCAGAAACGCCTAAAGAATCTCTTTGAGATATTTAAAAGTTAATATAAACTTCGTGTCTTGTGCGGTCAATGCAAAAAAACGGTTCCATTGCATCATGATGAGAAAATACTAGTACTCAGCTTGAGCTAGACGGTTGTTTGTTTATCATACACTATATATATTAGACATCTTCGAAAATAAGAAAGGTATTATCAAAATCATAGTTCTGACATTGATATTAATCAGATCAGTGTGACGTGAGTATTTTCTTTTTCCAATAATTTTAACTAGCGGCTAGGAGAAATTAACGTAGCTGGTGCTTCACGGGCGCATTTGATCCGAATTTTACAGATTTACGGTCAATATGGTATTTGCAGCTAATTTACTGGAAAGTGCAATTTTGGTGTTGTCCCGGGGTGGGGCAGTAGTGGGGTAGACACCGGTTAGTCCTTTTCCATGCGCAGGAACTTGTGCAGAAATAATTTAAAGCCGATGGCATCATGCATCGCAAGGAGCAAGTGATGTCAGAATTTCCTAGGGGTTGAGATAATATTCTGTTGATAGAAAAGTGATTCTATATATATATATATTTAAGCAATAGACCACACTTTCTATGGGTTTACCGGCGTGATAACCCACGCGGGATGTTGGGAGAACACGAGAAAAGCTTGTAAATCACTCGCCTTCGGCTCGTGATTTACAAGCTTTTTGAGTGTTCTCCCAACATCCCAAGTGGGTTATCACGCCGGTAAACCCATAGAAAGTGTGGTCTATTGCTTTTATAAAATAACCTTTAGTAAAGTGGAGTCTTTTAGGTAAAAAATATTGTTTTAGTACCGTGATCGATTTATGTCTTCTCTCTAAAGTCATCATAAGCCAATCATGACTCACGATTTAATAGCGCAGAACTTTCTCAAAACTCAGTTCAGTCAAACAACAAACAGCAGCACTTCAAAACACGAGTTTTTGCACTCGTTACATGATAACTTATGAAAGCTGTTTTACAGGAAAAGTCAAGACATATTCATGCGAACGTACAATGAAACAATACGTTCATGATTTGTTTACTAAAGAAGTAGAAAATTGAACATCAGACTGTAGGCAGCTGTACTTTGTTGAGTCGATCCGTAAGAATTTCGTGCTTACAGACGGAACTGGCAGCTATTGTAATGGAGGACTTCATTCACTTTTTTACAAGCCGCAGTGGTTTAAGATCTGTTTTCTGGGCTTTATCATGATCAAGAAACGCTGCGACGTGGCTGCATTTGCGAAGTTGTCGCATGTAACTTTACATGCACGTACAGTCACCGATGGAAATCTGTCAGTGGTGGAGAAAGGCCGGTTTTTTTGCCGTAGCCACATATTGTCGATTTGTGAAGTCAGGTGGCTTGAGGTAGGTTATGGCATCGATATCACCGAATAATTTGTACAAATGTTGGAGAAAACCAGCCCGAAACTCTGACATCTTTCATCATCGTTGGCAGCTTGTTTACAACCTACAGCGGCCGATTTTGTACCATATCTTGATCAGAGATCTCTTTTTGGAACAATTTCTTTCATTAAGGAATTTAATTTTGACATAAAATAAATCAAGAATGCTAAAACTATCCGTTTTGTTGCTGGTTGGCATATGGTTAAGTTTTCCTATAGACTTTCTACACAAGAAATTCACACTGTTGTTGTCTTTCTCTGCGATTTGGCATCGTCGTGAAATGTAAACTGCTTTCCAGCTTTGTACTTTATAACTTCTAAAGCTATGGCAGTAGCGAATTGTGACGCTCAGTAATAAAATGTGGAAACCAACGCTTTGAATATTTAGAAGGGCTGGGTAAGTAACTTGTTCTGTTTTTTAGCCTTTCTAAAATCGTTGTTTGCAGATCAATAGCCAGTTTTGTTTATGGCTCGTGGTCCGGATGCCTTTTTCTATGGGTTTACCGGTATAATAAACCAATGAGATCACGCGTACTATCTCAGCTATTTTATAAATATATATATATATATATATATATATATATATATATAGAATCAGCTATTTGCTATAGTCTTCTGATTGGATATTGTAGCCGAACTGTTATGTGTTCAAAATAAAAGCGGGCAAATTTTAAACGTGCGATCTTTGCAGATTATACTCAATGAAAAATCTTTAGTCATTAAATGATTTGCACAAAAATTTTCCACGAGAAGGAGAGCTGTTTTATTTTCATATTTTTTCAGTGGTTGTTTCTGTTTTTGAATATTACAAAAAAATAATAATAATAATAATAAATTGTGGTGTAATAAAAAGAAGTAACTTGAACATGGTTTGAGGATAAAGTTAATCGAATCGGCACTGATCCTCCACATGATAGTCAATTTGTTCTATAAAAATCATAGTTTAGAATGTTTTAAAAAACAAGTGTAAGCAAGCTCTTAGCTCAAGGTCCATATGTCTAAAAAGACCTTGGACACAAAAAAGGAGACCCTTAAAACGCATTATAATCATCCGGAGGGCGTCAAACTTTAAATAACTAGCCATCCGTAAGATATCTATTCACCCAGGAGCTTACTGAACCTACCACAATTCACATATTTGCACGCAAACTTATTGCAGCATTTAACAGCAAAAATTTATTGCCTTGCCTTTTTTTGCCTCAGTTTATATAACAGAGCTGTGTTTTGCGCTATAGAGTGTTTTCACTCACGTGGCCAGCATCTATGCAAATTTATTGGAACAAAAGAAAGCGTTTGCATAAGAAAAGAGTACAGCTCCCAGAGGATTGGTTTGGGACACCAACATGGCCGCCGTTTCATTGTTTTGGGACACCAATATGGCCGCCGTGACGTCATGTGAAAACACTCTATAACAAGATTATGGATAATCCCAAGAGAGAATGAGGTAAGAGAGCGAATCCCTGTGCCCCATGATAATTTTTTAAAATCTATTTGAAGTTCGAGCACGTGCTGCGAAGGTTATTTTTGTTTGTTGTTTCCGTGACCCGCGCGGTCTACTTTCACGTGAACGTGACAGGTTTCGCCGCCAAACATTTGAAGTTTGACAGCCATTATAGTAATTAGCTCCAGGAACCGATAGTAATCGGCTCCTGCTGTTGATACGTTTTTGATCAGCGCTTTCCTCTAATAATTTAGAAATGAATTTCATTTACAAAGGGATTGCAGTATTGGAGTCAAAATTTCACTTTGAGATTAAAGGTTGAGATTTTCTAACGGCTGGTAGCCTCATTTAAAGTAACGAATATTGAATTCTAACACAATGTGAAAGCCAGAGGCAAAGGTTATCACGCGCGAAACACGAAATCTTTAATAAGTGGCTGGCTTCAATTGTTTATGTAAATGTGCAAGATATTTTTCCTCATTTTCCAGGAAATATTTTTCGTTCAGAAACACTACATTTGCTTTTAAGAATTATACTTGAGAGTTTCAAACTGCATTACTTCTTCTTAGCGTCTAATACTTGCGATGGATATTTCGCTGCGCAAACACGAATCAGGTCAGGTGCCTCAAGCTGTTACACAGTCGCTAACCTGAATGCCAGAGAATTTTGATGCGCGGTTTCTGGTTTCGGTCAATGCCTAATAGTGAGCGGTGTAACCACATTCACAAAATTCAAATGTTTGGCGGCTAAACATTCATGTTTGAACCCACTTTGAACATATTTTCTCGTTACGTGTCCACCGTTTGATCCAAACGACGGTATCTCAGCTCGCGGGTGTGCGTGGATTTCGCCGGAAGAGAGAGTTGTCGTTTTTTACAATAGGATGTTGGTTGTTTATATATCGATGTAGCGAAGACCTCAATAAGCAGTTTTCGCAGAGTCGGAACCGCTTTCTCCGGCAAATTTTAAACGTGCGATCTTTGCAGATTATACTAAATGAAAAATCTTTAGTCATTAAATGATTTTCACTAAAAATCGGTTATAAACGAAACTAAGACACAGAGGTTACCCGAAAAATCTTTACTCCAAAAGAAGGAAAAAGGAGGTTTGGCGAAATTGTACTAATTTTTCGCGCAAAACATGAAAACGAGGTCGAAGCGCAGCGAAGCGAAAAACTGCCTATGAAGCAAAAATGTCAATCTTATTTTTACTTGACTCGGTAGAAAGGGTACAGGAAAGGGCACAGCTGAGGGTATAAAAATTCTATATAAAACAACAGGTGGTTCTAAAGTAGACCCTTACTCTTTTGGTTCTTAAATAAACTCCATTCTAAAACATAGTGAGCGGAACGTGTATTCAAAAAAGTAGGAATAAGAGGTGCGATCGCCTAGCAACACATGTATTGTTATTTAGCGCTAAAAATCGGATATATAAACAAAACACACACACATACACAAAGTGGAGCTGAAAACTCTCTATTTCAATTTTGACTCACTATTACAAAAGCGCTTTCTCCTTTGTATCTCGAGGAAACGACTAACTGAAGTCTGAGCGCTTGATGAGCTTATGGTCTTATCAATAGAGAGGAGAGGTCGTTACCTCACGTTGCCACGGTGGCAAAATGTTTGGATGACAACAAACCGATAGAGTCACTTAAGAGTTTATTCGCACTATTTCAGACTTCACCAATCTTATTCAATTTCATTTAATTTGGCAAATCTTGGCAAAATTTTCCTTGGGACCGTATTTATGGTTATCTAAGTTTAGAAATGAAAGCGACAATTTTTGTGTTGTGTTCACTGTACTTAATGAAGCGGGCTCGCGAAATGAGGAAGTTTCGTGTCGTAGTTTTGCAACGACGGCAAAGAACTGTACAAAATAGCGTGTTAACATAAACATTATTTTTTGCCCATATCCTTGCCGTCACCGTCGTCGTTGGTTTTGTTGTCATCCAGAAATAGTGCTACCATGGTAACGTGAAGTCACACTTCTCCTTTCTATTCACGAGCCGTTAGTCAGTTAATTATGGGGGTTAAGAAGCCCACAGTTGCATACAAATTGGTTCCACAGTAAAAACCCCAAGGGAGAAGCTTGACTTATGATTATAAAACACAATTAAAACAATTAAGAGCGACTGTCTGTAAATATCGACCAAAATCGACTTTTTGTGGCACAAGTTCAAAATTAGAATTTCGCTCATTTTTGGCTCATCGATAACCCTTAATGGGTAATGAAAGATGCTGTACTTAGCTTTCCCAAATAACGTGTTCTTTTGTTAAAATTCGAAAAAACTCATTTTGCCCGTTGGGAGCTCAAATTCCACTTCTGGCAAAACGATATTTTACACAGATTTCATTGACTCGTACGTCAAACCACAACGATCGATTTGGCAGACTTTGAAGAACACGAATAGTTTTTGTAACCCTTTCTTTCTTATAAGACGATAAATTTGTGAAAGCTGTAATAATTTTGTGGCCAAAAAGGTACGTTCAAAATAGGCCCTATTGACAATTTCTACCGTTCAAAATTGTAGGGATAAAATAATGCAAATTTTTACAATGCGCTATAACTTAGAATTTCGCAAATTGACTTTCTACGGCTTGACTAGACCCCAATCGATCAGAAAATCGAAACAAATCTCTGGGAAAACGATTTTAAGTAGCGCACAAGACCTTGAGTTAATTCACCACTTAATTTTCGTCCAGCGTGGAATTAACGCGAGATTATGTAAACCAATTCCTCCGGCTGTTGACCGGAATCGCAAAGCGGTGTGCTATCGCATGCGAGGCAAAAGTTAGTTTAACATATTTCTTTAAGCCATGCTGAGAAAAACGAAGGTAAATCGGAAAAAACACAAATCCCCTAGAATTTTCTATAGCTTCAGGAAGGCTAAACATTTCTGGATGACCGTTTCATGCATGTACAATTTTCAAGGTTTATCTAATAAATTCTTTACGATTTTCTGAAGTTTAATTTTTTCCATTTCACTTCCCAGGACAAGCTATTTTTCGTAGAGAAAGGAAACCAAAAAATTTTTGGAGCCGAAAATACCATGGAGAGAGGAATCAGAAAAATTCTCACTTTCGTAAAGCTTTAAATTGCAACTAAAATTTTCGGGTAAATAATGCTGAAGCCCTTGTCGAGAAGACTAAAGTTGCCCTAGGAGGCATTTAGGAGGAAATCGTCGTTTGGGTGCTCCTAACGAACGAAGCGCTGTCAATGATGATTTACGTGAATATATCTCGTTCTTTTACGCTATGCTAAGACGAATCAAGTGCTGTGAACTTGTACGATATGCCTTTCTTCACAGAACGAAAAAACAAGAATCCGTAAACTAAAAACACTGTAGAAGACTAGACTCCGTTGCGAGAAACACAGCGGCAAACGTCTTTCCGTTAGCGATCGATACACCACGGTAAGTCCGTTTTTTCATGTTTCCGTCACTGCGTTTATAATAGACGAATTCAATAACGATACTTAAGTAGTACTATTTTTTTTTTTCAACTTTGATCAGAGGAAACAAGCGCGCTAAGTTGTAGGTAATACTATGCTAGGGCATGTTGAATGTTGGGCATGGTTAAATTTCAGGCCTCATGAGTGAAGATTGCGGGCGACTCTTTTTTTCTGTGAATTTTGGGTGACAAAACTAATATCAGGTTTTGGACGATCGACATACCGGTAACTTCAAACGACAACACTTTCGAATAGCTTGACCGTCACCCCTTTAGATCGAGCTCGATGACTTAATTCAATGACCAAACTTTATAGTAGAAAAGAATGACTTTAAGAATTTTACTCGGACTTTTCTCAGTGTGTGACTGACAGAGATTTCTTGGATCGAGCTTTAGTACTCTAAACACGCCGTATTATTGTGGCAGAGACAAAGAACCAAACAAAAGAACACACCATACAATTTCGGAGTTCTGTTAAGAAAGACATTTGTTTTTTACTATTCAAAAAGCCGTAAAATATTCATTTAATTAACTGATATTTGCTTCCTTTGCACGCATCACTGGCGCACGAATGTGTTATCAATCGTTTCTTGAGTACAGAAACAGTTCATCAGATACAATGGAAGAAGATGCAATGAAGTACTGGAACTCTGAAGAAATAGCAATAAACATTTTAAGAAACGATACAAGATTCCCTGGAGGTGGACAGGTTCCACCCCGCATAATCACCCCGAGCTGGATCAGCCGAGAACGTGCTCAGTGGAGTGACCGCCGAAGAGATATTTAAAAAGAGTGAGGTAGGGTTTACGGTTAGAACAAATAATACCAATCAATAAATCAATAAGCCTTACCTTTCATGTAACATAGCAACACATCATTGATGATGAAACGTTTCATTATCAATAGAGAATGTTCTTCGTGTCCATTAACCGCGTAACTGGGATGAAAAGTTAAAGGCGCTGAAATTATTCCCATTGGTCAATTTGCATTTGCTAGTAATCCGATAAGATTTGTTGACTATTACAGTGAGCTAAATATATCCGTTGTGGTTAATTGTAATGGTGGATCCCACCGGGAATGAGCGACAAAGGGAAATTTAATAGACAGGAAACTATAACAGGGGCTCCCAACGATCTTTTCTGTAAAATATATGTTCGGAGAAGCAAATACTGCCTAGAAATTCTATTACTTTGGGGACGGCTAAAAAAAAATTAAGATGATCAACCATTCATGTACAATTTTGGAGGCTTATCTGATAAATTCCCTATGATTTTCTACGGTCAAAATTTGCACCTTTCACTTCCAAATTTAGGCTACTTTTCGTAGAAAAAAGGGAACCTATAATTTTCGGATTCAAAAATGGAATACAAAGAGGAAAGAATGCCAGAGCTGTAAAAGTACTCTGGTAGCCTAAAAAGGGTTTTCAATGTATTTAGGAGAAACCCGTGGTTGGGTGCCGCTGTTATAAGCCCTGACTGGCCTGAAACGTGTTGGAACCTCATATTATATCATATTAGTGCCGTATAGACATGTTGTACATACTTGCCACTTGTTTTTTGGCCAAAAGGCAAAGTTTCGCATTTCGTTCAGCCAAAAACAATAGATAGGCCATTTCCTAGTTCCAAAGCCCTCACTTTCAATTAAAACGAAGGTAAGGAAGACTGCGGATTCGTATGCTGGACTAACCGGATACGTGCTGACGGAAGCCGAATCCTCAACGGAAAAAGTTGTGGATTCAAAAATATGCGGATACTTGCGGACGGAGCCTAAGAGTTATTTTTCCACTTATGAAGCCAGTAAGCTGTTTCAATCGAGCTGCATGCAGATTTTCTATGGAAAAAAATACATTAATGTAAGCTTGCAACCACAATAAATGATTCAAATTTATCATGCATAGAACACTGAAACACACAGTACATGATATTATAATAACTCTAAAAAGCACTATGAGAACTCACGAACACAAGTCTCTGTAACCTGTTTTCAGTGGTAAACCTCTGTCCGAAATATTGCTCTACTTAAGCTGGAAAAGAAAACAGAGGTCGTTACAAAACGGCTAGTCCGGCACAGACATCATTTATTTATGAACGTTTTCAATTAATAATAATGTAATAATGATGATGATAATAATAATGAAGATAATAATAATAATAACAATAATATTAATAATAATAATAATAATGATAATAATAATATCAGGGGGTCCACTTCACCTGGAAGATGCTCTTCAGTGGGACCCTCCGTATACTTAGAATGATAAGAACACTAGATACTCAATTAACACTACACATAACAAAATGGTAAAAAAGAGATTGTATTGTATTGTATCTATTTTCTTCATTCATTGGAGATCGCAAGACTCATTTTTTAATGCTTTTTTGGCTAGGATACCTGTGTACTACAAGCAAACCGCCGCCTGGTTGGCTCAGTTGGGAGAGCGCCCGTCTGCTGAGTGGGAGGTTACGGGTTCGAACGCCGGCTGGACCAACACTCAGGATCTTTGAAATAACTGAGAAGAAAGTGCTGCCTTCGTAATGACATCTGCAAACGGTTAGACTTTCTAGTCTTCTCGGATAAGGACGAAAAACCGTAGGTCCCGTCTCACAGCACTTACACTTATCTGGTTCTTGTGAGGCGTAAAAGAACCCACACCACTGTTCGAAAAGAGTAGGGGACGTAGACCCCGGTGTTGGGGTCAACCTTCACACATCACATCATTCACATCATGGGCTGGGTGGGTACAGTAAGCTCATAAATGGACTGAGAGCGGCTGCCAGTAGCGCCTTTGTGTCCTGACGTCCGAGCTTACTGTTCACATGTTAAAATATATTGCAAGAGGGCACGTCTGTTGTCCTCTCATCTACAACTCTTCATTCATTCTCTTCAAAAGGCCGGTCATTTTCTGTGTCACTCATCTTTACTTCGTTTTCATGCAAGAGCCTTGCCTCATTTTCAAGCTAAATTCCGCGCGGTCTCGTCTACTACTGTGATACTATTTTCTTTACGCTAACGCCTAGTAAATTGAATTCACCTTTTGAATTATGGTTTCTGCTCTGCTGAATGATTGCACATGGACGCTTTTAAGAACTGTATTCATCGGCCATTGAGACCACATGACCAGTACTCGAGGTCAGAAAATTTATAACCAAATAGCAAATAGCTAGAGATCAAAGGGAAACAAACACCCCTTCTTTATCTCCCCCTCCCCTCCCCCTTAAAATTCAAATCTCCTCTCTCCTAGCCCCTCAGGAAGGCCTGAGACTCAGGCCAACTTGTAGGAAACTGCAGCTGCTACCAAGCTCAACTCGAGGTCTGAATGTCAATGAGTTAACGTAGGAAAATGGTTTGTTTTCATAAATTTGACAAACAGAAAAGAATTGAATTGGGCATTGGTAAACAGAAAGACCTCGTCGTCGAACTCTTGTGAAAAGAGCTAATTTATTTATCGTTGCAAAGAAAATTCACCAACAATTTTCCAATTTCATTTGTTTTAATTTTCTGATCACAAGGCATGTCACGTGACAATATGTGAAGCTCAAGAAAAATTTTCATTCCGTTTCCCTCAAGATTTCCATTCTGGGAAAATCCCATACCCTCCCTGGTAACATAGCGAAAGATACTGCTGGTGAAAAGTATTTTCTAACACCCCTAAACCCCTTGAAAGAACAAACACGCCCCGGACGCATGTATCAGTCAAAATAATCTTGGCAACTATGTTCTTAATATCAACGTTTACTTATTATATAAGCTATTTAAAAAAAGCGATGTCAAAGGAAAAAAAAGGAAAAAAAAGAAACAAAAGAAGTTCTTGAATCGTATCGAGATAACATTAATTCAACCTGTACAAATAACAGGCAAGTACCCATCCCTCAAGCCAACAATTTCCGATGCTTAGGTTATTTGCAGAACATTTAGCTGCTTGACATTTTTGTACTCTCCTTTTTCCAAGTTACAGCTAGCTGCCTTCAGCATAACGGGAAAGAGCCAATTCTACTCGGTTCTTTTATGTCACTTTTTTTAAAAAATTTTGAAAGTTTCTTTCCACACTCTCGCAAACGGTTTCGCTGATTTTGATGAAAATGGGAGGGAGTGATGTATCATTGTCACCTAAAACGTGGCCCCCGGATGGGTTCGATAGAATGAAAAGAAAGACTCTGAACCGCTTTGAGAGGCTCAAACCATTAGCTGTAAAGAGCGGGAAAGGCCTAATGGCGTGGACAACTGAACCTTTCGCTGTACATTAAGGGATGGACGCGCTAAGAAATGGCGGGACTGCAATGGATGCTTGTTTGGCCACAGCTCTTGCAGATACCTAAAAAGTTAAGATCCTTTTTCTTAGCTGACCAAATATATATTTTTTTCTTGGCGCTAATGTCTATAATAATGAAAATCATAATACAGGGCGAGTAAATTTAAAGGGGGAAAGGGGGTCTTTTAATTTATTTCTCTCAAATTGCGATTACATATTAATGTGAGTTTTACAAATTGGACAACACCTACATATCATCAACATTGGCATTAGCTCCACTCCCTCCGCCCCCCTCTCTCTCTCTCTCTCTCTCTCTCTCTCTCTCTCTCTCTCTCTCTCTCTCTCTCTCTCTCTCTCTCTCTTTGACACACACGCATCAGGCAGTGGGAGGAGGGGGGCTACTGGACTCCTTTAATGGCCTATACGGGGAGGTTCCGTCCGTATTGTTTCTCCTCCTCCTGGCTTCAGGTATATGAAAGGGTTGGATTTCACGAAATGAGGTATACTTATGCGAAACATTAGGAACGTCTGTTAGTAAGATATTAAAAAATAATAATAAAAATAAATAAGGCTGTGCTATTGTAATTTATCAAACGCTACATAAAATGACAAAAAGGCTTCCTGTTGTTGTTTGCAATGGACTGTCACACGAGGTCAGTCGAATGCAATTTTATAATAGTAAAAATAGTCAGAACCTCTTTGATCACATTCTGTCACGCAAAAAAAAAAATTCCATCTTCGCGTATATTGAAAAAAGCAAAATCACTAAATTTGGCAACTGAAATCCTTTATTTTAGTAACAAGCTAAACGCCAACGTACGCAAAAAAACTTGCCATCGCCATTATGAAGCTGCCACTTCAGGGGTTAAAAACCCTTGAAGGTTCATAAAAAGCCACTCCAAAAATTTGTATACACCAAAACAATTTAAAGCCGGTTATTATCAGTTGGTTTTGATAGGCAAGCTAAAACCTTCAACCCGTATTACTCGATAGGCTATTTTGATAAAGGTTAAAAAACACATAAACTTATAAGACCAAGTATAAAACATGACCTAAATATTTTCTGTGTATCGCATGTAAATACACCGAATATTACATTTGATTATAAATTACAGCGATCGATATAAAAAGCGATAAATAAATAAAGCAATATAAAACAATAAATCCGAACTTAACTTTTAGACGGCTAGCTAGACGGCGCCATTTTTCTTGCTCTGATAGCTGATCTGGAGCGGAAAGGTAAACTAGTTTCAATCCTCCTCCGCATCACAGCTGAACCAGAGAGCGGGTATGAGCGTTTCAATGCCCCATGACTTAAGACTTTGATTCAAAGGAATCAATGTATCGCGAGATATGAACGCTTACCATTTGGATACTTTCTAAATGTCCTTAGACCTTGCGCCGCGTAATATATCCGTATATCGATTTAGTTGATGGTGAATGGGCAGTCGCTTGGGTTTGCAGGCTGGGTATTTTTGAAACTTTTTTCCTGGAAGTATTTCGGAAATTCAACAGTTTCCGGAATTTCTGAACTCTTT